TCTTCGTTTAAAAACAATACCAATTAAAGAGTTTGTGCAAACATCGGATTGAAATCAAGATTTAATAAATGTAAAGAGAGTTTGTGCAAACACAAGTCTCAGATTTCGTTTACCAATTGCGATTGGATAAACACCATTCACACTGTGACGAGAGCTTACGAGTCTCGAAGTTGTGTTTGGTTTGCATCACTAGAATTCTCATTGGAGGTTCGAAAGTGAGTGTTGATTTTGTTTCTTATAAAAGAGACCATCTTGATCTTGAATCTGAATCATTTAAGCTATCTCATCAGAGGTTCTTAAAGTTCAGAGCCAACTTGCTCTGATACCAATTCAAATCAAGATCACCTTATCTTGACTGCTCTGATGCCCAATTCAAATCAGGAACACGTTACCCTGACTAAGTTACTGAATGATTCAGAAAGTGATTCAGCAACACGAGAACAAGAGATTAAAGAACAACTTTTCTTTATTGATTTAGAAACTTCACAAAATTAAATCTCTCTCTTCTGTCCTCTCTGAGGTCCTATGGAACAACTCTCCATAGCCTCTCATATATAGAACTTATCTACCCCTAAGTCTATATGATTCTCTTTCTCTAGACTCTCATGAGATTTGTCTCAACACCTCCACGTGTCTCAACTCTCATCTTCGGATGCTGGAGCTCCTCTGGTAGCAGAACTCCCCCCGAGCTGTTCTGAGCTCACCCAGAGCTATTCGAGCTCCCCTGGGCTATTCGAGCTCCCCGAGCTACACTAAGCTCCTTGAGCTTTCTCTCAAGCTCTCTCTCTTCTTCTTCACGAGCTCTCCTCTTGAGCTGCCTTCACGAGCTCCCTCTGAGCTGCTCTCACGAGCTCTCCTCTAAGCTACCTCTGAGCTACCCTCTGAGCTACTTCGGCTATACGAGCTACTCGAGCTCCTTGAGCTCCTCTGAGCTACACGAGCTCCCCGCTTGAGCTACACGAGCGCCCCTGCTGAGCTACTTCTCTTGTTCTTCATAAGGCTCTTATTTATACTAGAACCAAGCTTCTTCTTTGCCTATTGTGAATAGGAAGACTTACAAAACTTGTCCAACTTAACATTATTTGTATTTCCTTTTCTCTTGATTTCCTTTCTTGGATTTCCTTTCCTGTATCTCTTCTAGCATCTTCTAGAAGGAGATAACTTGCTCCTCAAGTTAGTTGGAATTATCCAACATTCTCCCCCTTAATTCCAACTTGAATTCCGGGAAGCTTGATTCTCGCCAATGCCTTAGTAAGTGTGTCCGCCTTCTGCTCCACACCTTGAACATTCTCAACTTCAACATTTGTTGAGATACGATCTCTTGCTCCTCCTTAGCTTTGTAGATCTTCAAATTTGACATCTTCAAATTTGACTGCATCTTAGTATCCACATGCATTCCTTGAGCATCTCCCTCTTGTTCTGCTCCTTGAATTACTTCTTGTACTAGTGCTTGTACTACTTCAACGATTCCTTGAACACAACCTTCTTGTTCTGCTCCTTGAATCACGTCTTGTACTACTTCATGTAATACTTCATGTATTACTTTAGCGAGAAGTATTTCTTGAGCACAAACCTCTTGTTCAACTCCTTGAATAACTTCCTGTAGTACTCTCTGTACTACTTCAACGACTAGTACAGAATACCCAAATATCATAACCCGACTTGGTTTGATATTCTCTAGACCCCGACTTGGTTCTAGCATCATTAGAACCCGACTTGGTTCCAATATTGACCAATCATCTTCCTTCTTGAGATGCGGCCTCGTGATCACACTTCTTGACCAATCATCTACCATCTTGAGATGTGGCCTCATGATCTTCTTAGCTTTTAGTAAGCTTGAATGACGTTCGGCTTCTCCCCACATATCATTCAGAATCTTCATTAGGTGCCTAGAGACTCCTCCTCTATGAAACCTCGAATCTTCATTAGATGCTTAGAGACTCCTCCTCTATGCAATATCAAATCTTCATTAAATGCCTAGAGACTCCTCCTCTATGCAATATCGATTCTTCATTAAATGCCTAGAGACTCCTCCTCTATGCAATATCGAATCTTCATTAGACGCCTAGAGACTCCTCCTCTATGCGTAATCGATTGAACTCCATAAGATCTCCTCCTCTATCGGTGCGAAAGGTTTTGATAGATAAGCCGGCTTGCTTCTCTACACACTCTTTTAAACCTTTTGTACCGATCGAAAACTTCAATCGATATGTCAACAAGGAACCACCTGTTCTTGTTGATTGATTCAACATCTTGGCTCGTCTCTCACTTTCATCATAAGTTTTCTGGAACAATCCGGAAACTGTCTCGGACTTCATAATATAGTCTTCAAGGTATTGCGGCTGATTCACTTGTCGACCCGACCTTGTCAGCTGTGGTACTCCTTGAACTACTTCACCAACCTCATCCTCGTGGTTGTCTTGAGTGATATCCTCCATGACATCATCTTCTTCATGTCCTTCTCCAGCATCTTCTCCGTGAATTAACTCTAAACTTATATGACCTAACCGAGCATGCCATGTCCTTGTAGATTCATTAGCAATTCATTCAGTCAGTCCTTCAGCGAGTCCTTCAACGAGTCCTTTAGAAAGTCCTTCAGCACGTCCCTCAGCAAGTCCTTCAGCTTGCAAACATGTTGGCTTACTTATCTCCAAATAACTTGATGCTGACCAGCCTTGTCGCATCACTTTGGATAAATTCTTCTTCTACTTTTGGTTGTGATCACCGGTTACTCCTCCTTGAGCTTGCAAGATGGACCTTCCTTATCCCATGCCTCTGCCGGAACTGTCACCTCCAAAGCTTCATCTACCATAACCAACGTAGTTATAGCTTCCTCTGTTATAACGTCTTCTTGTTATAACCGCCTCAGTTTCCTGCTCGAAACTTCCCGTAGCCTCCACGCTTAGGGTTTGAGGTCCTTGGTCTTCACTTTGGGTTTCTTCCCAACACGTTCTTCATACTCCAGTAACCTCCCAACAATGTCTTCAAACCCCATCCGCTTTAGGTCAAGAACTTGCTCCAAGGATGCTACAATATGAATGATCTTGGTTCGTGGTTGTGGATTCTCGTCTGCCATACTTGCTTACGAGTCACATACCACCGGTCTTGTCTAGAGTCTTCACACTAAGCTCTGACACACCACAGATCTTGTCCAGAGTCTTCAAACTAAGTTCTGAACTTGTACAGAGTCTTCAAACTAAGCTCTGCCATACCACAAGTTTCGTCCAGAGTCTTCAAACCAGAAGCTCTGATACCAAATAAAGTTCAGAGCCGACTTGCTCTGATACCAATTCAAATCAAGATCACCTTATCTTGACTGCTCTGATGCCCAATTCAAATCAGGAACACGTTATCCTGACTAAGTTACTGAATGATTCAGAAAGTGATTCAGCAACACGAGAACAAGAGATTAAAGAACAACTTTTCTTTATTGATTTAGAAACTTCACAAAACTAAATCTCTCTCTTTTGTCCTCTCTGAGATCTTATGGAACAACTCTCCATAGCCTCTCATATATAGAACTTATCTACCCCTAAGTCTATATGAGTCTCTTTCTCTAGACTCTCATGAGATCTGTCTCAACACCTCCACGTGTCTCAACTCTCATCTTCGGATGCTGGAGCTCCTCTGGTAGCAGAACTCCCCCCGAGCTGTTCTGAGCTCACCCCGAGCTATTCGAGCTCCCCTGGGCTATTCGAGCTCCCCGAGCTACTCTAAGCTCCTTGAGCTTTCTCTCAAGCTCTCTCTCTCTTCTTCTTCACGAGCTCTCCTCTTGAGCTGCCTTCACGAGCTCCCTCTGAGCTGCTCTCACGAGCTCTCCTCTGAGCTACCTCTGAGCTACCCTCTGAGCTACTTCGGCTATACGAGCTACTCGAGCTCCTTGAGCTCCTCTGAGCTACACGAGCTCCCCGCTTGAGCTACACGAGCTCCCCTGCTGAGCTACTTCTCTTGTTCTTCATAAGGCTCTTATTTATACTAGAACCAAGCTTCTTCTTTGCCTATTGTGAATAGGAAGACTTACAAAACTTGTCCAACTTGACAATATTTGTATTTCCTTTTCTCTTGATTTCCTTTCTTGGATTTCCTTTCCTGTATCTCTTCTAGCATCTTCTAGAAGGAGATTACTTGCTCCTCAAGTTAGTTGGAATTATCCAACAGTTCTAAAATTTTGGCGAATAAAAATCTTAATCATAAGTGGTTTCATCACAAGAAGAAAAGCCGAATTCCATTTTTGACAAAAACAAAACCAAGATCGTGAAATCGGGTGAAAAGAAGAGAAGAATGAGAGGAAAGAAGAAGGGGATTGGGTTTGTGTTTTAATCGGGTCAAATGCAGGTTTTCTTTGGTTATAAACGGTTTAGTAAACTTAAACCGACAAAACCCAGACATGTGCGTTAATAGATCTCGAAGTATTAATTCAAGGAGATTTTTTAGCTATTGAACTTATATTTCGGAGAAAAATACGTAGAAAACATTTTTTCCAGAGAAATATGGACCGGAATTAAAGTTTGGATTCTATCTAGTATATTGCGATACTTCTCATAGAAAATATACTGGTTTTCCGCAAAATAGTCATCTTGCTTCCCTACAAATACCTATTTCTATAAACCCATTAGACAAATGCTATTTTCAAATTTTTTGGGCTAAAAAATGTCCATAACTACAATAATCCCAAAATTTTATTTATACATATATTTTCAAGTCACTTTCAATTTGTAGACAAATTTAGATTTTGAAATTATAGTAGTACTAAACCATGAGCCCACCCGGCCACTATATGATGACCCCTCTTCCACGTGACATTTTTCTGTACCACAACAAAAGCTTCTCTTGTGGATGAATGTGACTGACTAATTATCCTTCTTTCTATCTTTTTCTCATTAAATTATAAATTTTTGCTGCATATATGTAGAAATTATCTCTTGGAGTTAAAAGTAGGTAGCTTAGCTAGTCTTCAAGTCATGACATTAGCATATATACACCAAAATACATCCAATCCATTCACAAACATATGATTAGGTGCATGTAACTTTATTCACTCGAAAAACATACAATTCACGAGGGAAAAATTATAACAATGGCAAAATGATAATTAGTACAGAAAGAAAAAAATTAACATGGAAAAAAGCTAAAGATGACATTGTTTTTGTTGTAGTTTTGCGATATATATCACTTAGATGCAGCAGTTTCATAGTCAATAACGGTTTGAAAAGCTCCAGCTAGAGCCAAAACTTTGTTTTTCCTCGGGTTCTCTTGCATCTTACTTGCTATTACATCGTTGTAAGCTGATGGAGATTCCTTCTTCCCTTTCACTACTTCTTTCTTCTTTCCCTCTCCTGATTCTTCTTCTTTAACCTTCTCCTTCTCCTCATCCTTAACCTTTTCTTTCTCCTTCTCCTCTTCTACCTTCTCCTTTCCATCTTCTTTAACCTTTTCCTTCTCCTCCTCTTTCACTTTCTCCTTCTCCTCTTCTTCTTCTTTTTCTTGTGTAGTTTCTTCAACACTTTCAACATTTTTGCTTTCAATATCAACCTTCTCCGGTGTCTCATTCTCATCGATCTTCTTCTTAACGTCTTCCTCTTCTTCACCCTTGTTATCTTGGTTATTGTCTTGCTCTTTAGTTTCCTCTATTTTCTCTTCGATTTCTTCTTCATTATTGATCATTTTTTCTTCTAGTTCTTTGATGACAGCATTGCAATCTTTCCCAATAGGAGAAGCAACCGGTGTTGGTTCACCACTCTTAGTCTTCTCTTCAACGGATTCATTGGCTTGCACAACCGTTTCTTGCACCTCTTTATCTTGTTTTTCATCTTTTGGTTCTTCTATATTATGATCAGCAACTTGCACATGGTCACTCTCAACCTTCAGAATCTCCTCTTGATGATCCTCCTGAGCAGACGACATAGAAGCAGAATCCAAGGCATTAATCTCTTTATCAGATGCTTTCTTATTTGTAACATTTTCAGAACCTTCCCTTTTGCTTTTCGAAGAAGTGCTGCTACTGCTCAAACCGCTCTTCTTTGGCGCCACAGGAGGCGATTTCACAGTAGTACCTCCTCTTGGAACGCCTCTGCTTCCATGGAAAGACGAAGAGCGTTGAGCTGTAACAGGCTTCTCTCTAGGAAACGCTGGTCTATCTCGTGAGCGAGAAGGAGATACGTTGAGGGATTTTTGGATACGCGGAGAAGCAGAAGTAGAAGGAGAAGTCAAAGAAGAAGGAGGTCGATCAAAGGATCTTCTACGAAGAAGCTTCTGGTTATCATCAAGACTACTGTTGTTCTTCTTCAATAACTTGACCGGGTCGGGTCTCGAACTGATTGTTGGTTTCAAATAGTTTGGCAAAGGCTTCTCCGGTTTCTGATCAGACCCATCTTCTGATGACCCCGTGGACGAAGGTAGCTTTGGTTTTCTACCGAGAGATTTGGTTCTGGTTAGGTTTTGGTTGTCCGTTTTTGCTTTTGTCGTGCTTGATGTCGTTGCCATTACCTCAAAGAATATGGATCAAAAGGAAGAAAGAACAAAAAAAAAATTCTTTTTTTTTAAAGGAAAAGAAAGAGAAACGTGTATATCAAGGAAACGAAAAAAATCTCCTTGGAAGAAAATTAGGGTTTTCTATAAAATGAGAATCGATTACTTATGTGATTGTAAAACGGAGCTTAAATCTCGCAATTTCTTGGGTGGTAATGGTGGTGGAGGCCATCAATCTCCTAACAAATTTAAAATCAAAAACTAAATTAACATTATAAAACGATTCCGGTCGTTATGGAAAACCGTTGACCTTTTGTTTGAGCCGTTTCTATTTATATACAAAAAGACACCAACTGTGTTTTCTCTCTCTTTTTGGTTTTGGACCGTTTCAATGTCAGTAATAAGATAATTGTCCCCACGTCATTAGCATGATTAAATAAACACCACGTAATTGCGACTTACGAGTTAAACTAAATCACCAGAAATAGAAATTAAACTAATTTAAGACGAATAATATAAAGAAAGAGATTGGGCTTGCTCAACTCTGATGGAGCCCATTTGTGAACTGTTCCACCATTATTCTACATGCCATCCACTCATCCCAATTCCTTGCTCATTCACTCTCTCCTTTTCAATCATTTTCTTCTTGTCGACATATAACTTTTCAATCACTTAAATTAATGAAAAATAAAGTTTAAGCAAAAACTATAGATTCTATGTTAAATCTCATGCCACACGGCGATAGTTGATTACTTGATTGTGCTGAAAAGGATGGCGACGGTTGATTCAACTCGTTTGAGTTTAATGATGAAAAATCTAATTATATGCAACAAAACAACATCACCAAAAATTATGTTATGACTTATGAATGGCTACAATTTTATTGTCGAAGCTTTTAGCTAAGAAAAATTATGTAGCTACTAATAGTCTTTTTTTTTTGTGTGCGCGCGCATGTCTAAAGGTTTAAATTTGTGGCAGTGTGATGTGATGAAACAAGGGAAGGTGGTACATGGCAACAGCAAGCCAAACGAAAGGGACCAAATGTGTTTGGCTTGCTGTTGCCATGTACCACCTTCCCTTGTTTCATCTTTTAATATGTTTGTGCATTTTTCTTCTTCTTAATTGGTCCGGATACCTTTAACTAAAGTATTAATAATTGAGTTGTAGTGATGTGTGTAGACTTCATCTTTTAATATGTTTTAGTACAATGAGGTAATGGGCCAAATTGAAAATAAAGGCTAAGAGTCTAAGACCAACTAAATTTCGGTGACAAAGTTAAAAACCCAACTCAACTAAAAACCATTTGACTTGTAGTGATGTGTCAGACTTTATTTTCCTACTCTGATGGGTAAAGTACTATGTCATAGACAGTACATTATAGTACTTGTACACATCAATATCGTGCAATCACCAATCATAACATTCTCTCTTTCATGAAAATGGTGCGATAAGTAAAAGATTGCATTTTATCAAAAAAAGAAGAAGTAAAAGATTGCTGAATTTGAGGTTATGCTTCCACAGCATGATTTGTGTTAGGTTGCATAAAATGGTTTTTGTAGTTCCTTAAGTGTTTGATCCGTTTCATCAAATGAATTATTGAAACTCTTGCATTTTTCAGGAACGCACAAACTTGTACACGCCATGTTTACTAGCTGTTGGGAGCTGTGAGTTTGTTGATATAAATAAAAGCATTTTTTGGATCAAGAGCTGTTTATGCGAATTTTAGATTCAGATTATGATCGCTTAAAAAATGTTAGAGATTTAGGTTTGGATTATAGTTCTTATACTCAAAAAAAAAAAGTAGTTCTTATACTCTATCTATGATGTTTTGGAGAATTTTGTTTTGTTTCATTTTAAGTGATGTTTTTAACTTTTTAAGCAAAAATTAAATACATTAATTTTTTTATTAATTATATTTTAGATCATATATTCTAATTGGTTGAATTCATTTTACTTAATGATGTTTTTATGTAAAAGAGGTGTATTAAATGAAAATTATGTGTTTTTTTAATTTATGTGTATAAACTGTAAGCATCAATTAAAATGATTCAGAGGAAGTACTAAATATATATTTTTATTACAAAAGTCAAAAAAGAAATATCAACAATATCAAACGTCAACAATAGACGCTACACGCGAAGAATATTACGAGTAATATATAATTTGTGTGGAGCCCACCGTCACTATGCATGCATAGTAATTTACTTTTTTCTGCCTATATAAACGAACGAATTCGTTCGTTGTAAATCACAATTCATACTTCAACAATAAAAAGTTATAAGAAATCTCTCTCCTCCTCTCATCTCTTTATTTTCAGTATCCCGATCCTTCTGCGGGTATAAATTCTTTCTCCATTATTTATATTTATATACACCATAAAATAAAGTAATTATTATAACAATTTTGTATTTTTGTTATTATTGATTCTCCTTTGTCACGAAATAGCAGTGCTTTAGCAAAAAATATTTTACAAATATTTACCAAAGAAATATATAACTAAGTATATATGGTACATAACTCTTAAAGAAAAATTCTCTTTTATAATTCTAATAAATAAAAAATAGTTAAAAAGTGCATTCAAAGTAACATATGAATATGACTAATGACTATATAACTCGATAGATAGAGTTCGTGGGAAACATCTCTTCACATGCAGTTGTATTATATTAAATTATTAATTCTGTATCAAAAGAGTGGCATATGACCCCATGGAATTGTTTCGTAACGTATCTTTACAAAATCAAACTATATTGTTTGTAGCGAAACCATGTTTTTTTTGTTAACCCTACCAACATTTATATATATTAATTTTGTATGATTATGTGTTGCTTGCTTGCATGCTTCTCTCGATGTTAGGTACGAGACTACGAGAGAACAATAGAAAAGTATAATATATAATTTCATAAATGTATGTGCAAATGCAACACATACAGATAGAAAAAAGACGTATGACGTAGAAAAGCAGCTTTAAGATGATTCCAAAAATTGTTTCTTCAAGTTGACATTTTTGCAGATAAGTGTTAACCCTATCACGACGTCTGGTCGTGATGGTGCGTGGTCCTCACGCTCTCTTAATCTCCTGTGTTTTCTGAACGTAGTAGGCCCATTTTGCTTTGACTTGGGCCCATTTAACCCTCTCCTCATCTTTCAATCTTCCAACGAATAAGTTTTTTTGTTTAATAAAGTTTATTTAGAAGCAATGACTTTTGATGTCTTTACTTAGTACTTTATTCTGTTTTTTGAAGTTTAATATTATAATTGGTTTCGTTTCTATCATGGACGTGTTATTTGTTTCTTCTCTTCACGTCGTCTTTCCTTTAATAGTTACATATTATTTAAGTTATATAAGAAATATGGACTCCTTTTAGCATTGAGACCAAATAAATATTATTTGATTATTATTACCTCAACAATAAAATTTGTCAAGTTTTTTGGTTGAGAATGACGTTTTTATAACAAGAAGACGAAAAAACGTTTGTCCATATTACACTCTTCTTATCATCTTTCTAATTTATCGTATTTTCATACAATTTTGCTTTTAATACATATATATATATATATATTTTTTTTTAAAAACCTTTTATTTTAAATATAACCTAATTTATATTCAAACTTATATAAGTTTCTTAAAATTTGTTTTAATATGTATTAAAAAATGGTACATTTCGATATCATTTCACGCGTATTAATCAGTGTTTACAAGAATTTTTTTACTAAAATCGTTGCTAGTTAACGGTTTCTTAAATATTTATATTAATAATTAATAATATCAGTACGATTAATTATCTAATCTAATATTTCCCCATCTATTTGAAATTAATATTGTTTCCTTAAACTCCCTTTTTAACTTTTTCACGTAGTTAAAAAAGAAATAGAAATTAGTAATATAAATTAAAACATATATCATTTCGTGTTTACGAGACCCTAATCAGCAACGGTGTCGTTTCAAAAACCCTCTCATGTCCTTCCGTACTAAATATCTAAACCGTTAATCTCAGGCTTCACGCAACGAAACCCAAAATCAACGGATCAGATCACTCCGACTTCTGTTTCGCCTTTGCTACGCCACTTCTTCTTCTTCTCCGATTATAAATTAAAATCTCTCACAAAATTACTAATTCCGAATATTTCTTCTTCTTCTTCCTCTTCATCGCATCTCTCTCACTCCACGTTTTCTTCGGTGAAGAGATAGCCTCCGGGAAAAGTTATCATCGCCGGAAATTTCAGATTTTTTCTCTCCCGCCTCTGCTTTCCTTGTTTCGCTACGGTAATTTACGAGAACGAACAAAAAAAACCCATAAATCTTTTTTTCTATTGTTGATTTTGCTCTTGGGTTGAATTTTTCGTTGATTAATAACGTAAATTCGATGAAAAGTTTCTTCCTTTGGATTGAATTTTTCGTGTGGTTCTTCTGATTTCTTGAATTTGATTTAGAGAGAGAGTTTATATCTTTTGGTTAAGAGTTTTGTGTACGTTTTTAAATTCATGGAGAAGCTTGAATTACGGAGAAACTAAGTCGTATTAATGGAAAGTCCGTGTTAATCGAATGATTCTTCTTTTGGATGGTTGGTCTTCTCTTTAGCTTTCCTTTTTTCTCTCTTTTGGTTTCTTTAACAATCACTCAGTTTTGCTTTTTGAATCCTCTTGTGATGTTTATATGTTCTTCTCGTAAGCTTTCTCTGATCTTGTTTATGTTCTAAAATTTCTAAAGACTGAATTTTTAATGGTAAAAGATTCTGCTTTGATGCTAATCTGAAATTGAACTTTGTTTCTCTATTGCAGACTTGCAGTGTATAAGGGTGTGTGTTATGTATGGATGGATTAAAGGGTAAAAGAACATTTAGACCGATTATGCAGCGGAAAGCTAGTGGTCTTGTTTTACATGAGAATATGAAGAAGAAAGATGATAAGAGTCTTGTTCCTATTTGCAGTCGAATTGGTTGTAGTTCTAGGATTAGTTCTACTAAGGGAGCTTTGATTGATCACAAAGCAAAATCTACTGTGTCTTCGTTTCGATCTTTTTCAAATGGAAAGGAATCCGTTGGGAGTTCTTCTCGAAGTATGAGTGGATTTGGTGGTACAAAAAAGGCTTCCAAAGTTGGTTGTAGGAGACAACTCTCGTCTCTTTTGGATATGGATTCTTCAGAGAGTAGCAGTGTTAATGAAGAGTCACCCACGAGTGAGCGTGTCCTTCCACGTGGAAAGACCAAAGAAAGCACTATGGTTAATGTCTCTGGAGAAGTTGTGACAGAGGCAGGAAGCTCGAGTAGAGGAACCCGCAGAAGCATTCATCAGAGACCTGATTTGGTCACCCGAGAGGCTCGTATGGGTAACAGTGAGCAAAATGCAAGAGCTAGTGTGAACAAGAATGGATTGAAAGACTTGAGGAGCAAATCTGGTTCTGATGTTCTTCCATCTAATTCAAATCCGATAAGAAAAAGTAACATATTTAGAAAGAAAAATTCTGATGGAGAAAGCAGCTCTTCGAATAGAGGGAATAAGACGGAAGGATCAGTGATTGGGGGAAGGAATTTAAGTTCCCCTCAGGGCAATGGCATCACCATATCTGAATCTAGGAGGAACAGAAATATACCAAATGTTAGGGACAACAGTGTTGTTTCAAGTAGTACTAGGAGATCAACTGGTAATTATGGTAGAACAGGACGTGCTGGAGCGGTTGCAACTCTACAAGCACCTCGGCCTGCAACACTAGCTGATCTCAATCCTTCTAGATCTGCAGAAGTTTCGCGTAGTCCTTTAAATAGTTACAGTAGGCCAATCAGTAGTAATGGCAGATTACGTAGCCTGATGATGCCTGGTAGCCCCTCAGAAGGCGGCCTTTCTCACTCTTTGATGAACCGTGATGGTTTCAGACGGTATAACATGAATGGAGTTGCAGAGGTAGTCATCATAACCTTTGTTGTGTGTAATGGTGTTCCAGCGTCTTGATAACACAACTCAAATACTTTTTTCACAATGTTGCAGGTATTGTTGGCGCTGGAAAGGATTGAACAAGACGAAGAGCTTACATACGAGGTGATTCTATCATCTTGGACACTTTGAAATGCAAAGTTTTTGTCTGACTTCAGAGTATTATTGTGATACTTCTTCTGCTTTTTTATTTCCCTTGCAGCAATTGGCTGTTTTAGAGACCAATCTGTTCTTAAATGGTATGAGCAGCTTCCACGATCAGCATAGAGATATGAGGCTTGACATTGATAACATGTCGTATGAGGTTAGTCTTATCTTTTGTGTATTTTGGTTGATGACAGTCAAAGATGACACTCAATTTTTAGCTTATTCGGATGTGAAAACTGAAATTCTTAAAATCATGCAGGAATTATTAGCATTGGAAGAGAAAATGGGTACAGTGAGCACTGCTCTAAGCGAAGAAGCGCTTCTGAAAAGCCTGAAGTCAAGTATTTACCGTCCAAATGATGAATCCGACGACATTTGCCTAAACAAAGATGATGATGTAAAGTGCAGCATTTGCCAGGTATTAATTCTCTCTGATCCCTGAGTCTACTTTCAATAGAAGGTATTAGAAAAACTCAACCAAAGAGGGTTTTGTTATATATGTAGGAAGAGTATGTTGATGGAGATGAAGTAGGAACTTTGCCTTGCCAACATAAATACCACGTGAGCTGCGCGCAACAATGGCTTCGAATGAAGAATTGGTGTCCTATTTGCAAAACCTCTGCAGAATCTCAACCACAGCCATTTTCATGATGATGGGATTTGCAGAGACATCACCAAAGTGTTTGTCTCTCTACTTCCACCACATTGCTCTCTTTTATTTGTACATAAAAGGTTTCTTTTTTACTTACACACAATTGGGAACAAAATAGAAAATAAGATCAGGTGGACAAATTCCTTTCTTTCACCTGTATAAAGATTTAACATTTCAGTTGAAATTACGAACCAATATTTGGTTTAATTCCATATGTAGTTATATACTGTTATTGCACTCTTCATGTTCTTCCGCATACGGCTCCGGTTAAAAGCAAATAAAGAATTAGCCCTTGTTCATAGACATGTCAATTAGGCCAAAGTCCGCGAGCTAATCTGGTCCAATCCTAAAAAATAACGGGTTCAGATTTAAAAATATATATCCAAAAAAATTGGATCTTTCGGAGGAAAGGGTTTTTACTTTTTAGGGTTCAGCTCGGCCGGGTTCGGACCGTCCCGAAAAAACCCTTAAAAACATATTTTGACTTTTTTTGTTAACATTTGCGTTTAATTGAGAGATTTGTTTAAGAATTGTTTTTAATAGAGTTGAAAACCCTACACCTAGTTTTCTAATTGTCTTACTACAAATCTAAAGCAAATCTTGGCTCTACTACCAGTTTGAAGTCTTCTGATTTTATATTTTATTTGGTGTGAGTTTAAACAATATTTTTGGATTATTTATTCGATTTAAAAAATTTATTTTAAAATAATTTGGCTTTAGTGGTTATTTAAATTTCGATTGACTCGTTTCATACATCGATTTTGTTTTCAAGAGATAATACTAACTCGTTTCATACATAGATTTTGTTTTCAAGAGATAATACTAAGTTATTTTTTTTCTCGAAAGATAAGCCCAAAAAAACCCGGAAAACCCAATAGCCCTGTTAGGACCGGACCGAGCTTTAAAATATAGGATCGAAACTTTTACTGACCGGACCGATCTCAAATATATGGAGGTTTTGCGGACTTCGGATCAGACCGGGCTAGCCAAATTGACATGCCTATTGTTCCTAGCAACCACAATATGTCAATATTCAATAACTTTGTCATAGGCCCAAAAGCCCTTGTTTATACTAATTCCATGTTTTTTTTTTTGGTCAAACTATTTCATGTTCTATATATATATGATAGGAGAAGCAAATGTTTTTTTTTCTCTAATGTGTTGTATGGAGAAAAGATTTTAAAGGAAATAAGGGATCCTCAAAAAACGAAAAATGTCATTTAATCGTCCAACTTTCAAATTGTGGTCATTTTATACATGAACTTCATAGTAAGCCATTTTAAACATTAACTAAACGTTGACTGCCGTATTAAACATGAGACTGCGTTGACCTTGCCAATATAGACATAACGCTAAAATCCGATAACGGAACCACTAACAACCGTTAACTATTCTGTTAGTCAAATCGCCAACTTTCAAATTTAGGTCGTTTTAAATATGAACTTCGTATGAGGCCATTTTAATCATCAACTAAACGTTGACCCGGCCAAAAAAGACATAACGTTAAAATTTGCTAACATAACCAATAACAACAGTTATCTATCGTTAACTAAGACAAAAAAGACACAATACAAAGAACCAAGGCACAAACCAAGCGCCAAAGACACAAAGACATTAGTAACCAAAAATGAGAAATTTGTTCTTAGTTACTAGTGTGCAGACGAATGGTGAGATCAAGAGAGGTGAACGAAAGACATTAGACAATGATAAGAAAATTGAGAGTACAGAAAACATTTTTTGTTGTACATAACATATGTATGCACATGGTACATAACATACGCTCATCTCTCTTGATCTAATTTTCTTATCATTGTCTAATGTCTTACGTTCACCTCTCTTGATCTCACTATTCGTCTACACACTAGTAACCAAGAATAAATTTCTCATTTTTGGTTATTAGTGTCTTTGGTGTTTGGTTTGTGTTTTGGTTCTTTGTATTGCATTTTCTTTTGTCTTAGTTTTGTTGTTCATTAACGATAGATAACAGTTGTAGTTAGTGGTTAATTAGGTTAGCAGATTTTAACGTCATGTCTTTTTTGGCCGGGTCTACGCTTAGTTGATGATTAAAATGACCTCATACGAAATTCATATTTAAAATGGCCTAAATTTTAAAGTTGGCAATTTGACTAACATAATAGTTAACGGCTGTTAGTGGTTTCGTTATCGGATTTTAACGTCATGTCTATATTGGCCAGGTCAATGCAGTCTCATATTTAATACGGTAGTTAATGTTTAAAATGGCCTATTATGAAGTTTATGTATAAAATAACCACAATTTGAAAGTTTGACGATTAAATGATATTTTTTCCTCCTCAAAAAAGCTAAATCTTCTCTTCTCTTTTCTCTCATCTAATCTAATGTCTACTCTTCTTCAAACATTCGTTTTAGAAGCATCTCACTGTGATTTTTTTTTTTGCAATAAAGTTTTACATTTCAAAAAGAAAAAAAAAATTGTTCAAAGAAGACAAACACGCTCAGACAATTTGGCACGAAAAATTCGTATCGAACTGTTTCATATCTATTTTGTAAACAATATTCTTCAAAATTGGTTTTTCTGAATCTAAATAAAATCTGATGACAAGAAAAAGAAAGACAAACACGCTATCTGTGATAGATTGACATAAACTGCCATTCACTAATCTAATGTTTAATTATTTGTGTCTATAATCATATCAACAGTATTAAATAAATAAAAAACGTGAGATTTATTATAAAAGAAAATTATTGACTACTACTGTACATCGAAATAAGTAAATTATGTTATCCAACACGAACATGATCATTTGTCAAAATATTATGTTAATTTTAAAATATGATGGATTGATACTGAAAGTGGGACTAATGGGGGCGGGATGGGTCATTCAGGTTCAAGATACAATTCTTTTTTTTTTTTTTTTTTTTTTGAACACCGGTTCAAGATACAATTCACTAAACATTTTAATGTGACTTCAAGAAAATTTTCGAAACAATTCATGATCTCAATGCTCCATGAAGAACATTTCTAATTTGGGAAATGCGATGTGTCATGCATAATCATTCTAGTATTCCCATTTTATATCATATCCAACAAATTTAGGTCCTATCAACTCGCGTCCAGAAGAGTGACCAGCTTTTGTACCAAAACTACATGATTTTGAGTCCAAAACATTAAAGCTCATCAGTACTACTAACAAATAGTTCATGTATGTAAACTGAAGTAGCAATTCTAAAAATATATTTCATTGCTCGTAAGACTCGTAGTATGAATTTTGTCTTCTCGTTTGTAAACATTTCTCTACTAAATTGGTTGGTTATGGATGAAAGTATATATTGTAACCAGATATACGAATCACACTTCATATTACTGAATATATAGTACATCAAATTAATATTCCGAATGGAGATATGCGAGGTGGACAAATTAGGGTGCGGATGGACGGAACGGAATAATATTAAAGTTCAAATCCGCTCCGACCCGCGTGTTTTTTTTTATGGATTATGTAAGTAACTCTGTGAAATATTTGATGTATTAAACTTAGGCTCTGAATAGAGACAGTGTGCAATGAGGAAGAAATTTCTATAAATTTGATACTACATTTCCCCCCGCTCTAGCTACCATCTTCATTGGGTGCCTTTTTTTTACATCCTTCATTTGGTTCCTTGAAATGCAATAGACTACAACATTTTCAAAAAGGAAAAATAGATATCAAAGTAATCACATTCTATCAAATAAAATGGATTCTGTAGTAATATTGAATAAGAAAAAAGAAGTCATGTATGACAATCATATATCATAATGTGTATGAAATTTTCATTTTGGTCATATATATACAAGCATTTACACAAATGTTCATGGTATAGATTAGACAGCTAAACATTCATATGTAGTATTGATAGCGGTTTTAAACGTATAAATAAAATGGAAGTTATTGAATAATGTTTTAGTAATGACATGTCCAATCGTCAATCAGTCCATGCAGTAAGAAGGCAGAATGAGATGTGATGTCTCCTAAACTAGTTTTTTCAAAGTATAGCCTATGTACTAGCCTAGCCTAGCACTATCTTCTTATGGACGACGACATAACACGTCGACAATATATCAAGAGCTACCACAAATCCATGACTCTCACTAATTAATGCCATTGAAAGTTTTCATATAACAGCAACGTACGAATACTTGTCATCGACGCTCACTCGTACACACACATATATATATATATATAAAGAGTTATTGTGTGTGTCGATGATATTAAAGCTCAGGCCACGTGAGCATAGCTCCTAGGGCGTGGGAAGTATTTCTCAAAGCAATGTCTCTTTATACACGTTTCAAACTCTCATTGGTTCAACGAGAAGCTGACAATGCTTTGTTCACGTGATACACTGTGGTGAGTGTGGTCTATATGGCTTTCGTTTATGTGTATGTTTTTGACAAGCCTTGTCAATCATGAGTTCGAGTTCGACTATGGGATTACAAATCATATGGAGGTGTAGCTGGTTAAACCAATACGGTATAATCATGACATGCAATTCGATGTTTTCATTGTAGGGATACAAAGCAGGACCTACTATTGATATTATTATTATTATTATTATTTTTTTTTTTTTTTTATGATAATGAACCTACAGTGTTCGTTTTTTTTTTTTTGTTTTGGTTTTAATGAACCTACTGTTGTTATATCTCTTTCAATGTTTTCCGACAAAAATCTCTTTCAATACACATACTCAGAAGTGAGAACATATATAAAAATGCATGTATACATGGGATACGTATAATTAAATTGCAAAATACCATACAAGATGATACATCAGTACATGTTAGTATTTCTAATTTTCTTAGATCCCAATGATAATAAACATGGTTGGTTTACATAACATTATGAATTTATGATTCTTTTAAAATTTGCAAACATTAAAGTATTAAAAAAATACAAATTAAAATTTATAATCTTTCAGGAACAAAATATCATATAGAGCCTAAAAGGTTTTGCTAAAAAAAAAAAGAGCCTAAAAGGTCAGAAAAGTGTTGAAAGTGTAAGAAAACCCTAATGGTAGATGTTTATAGGTGATAGAGCGTCGAAAGGACATTACGGAAAAACTTTCACAACATATTGGAGACCAACTATAAGTTAAGAACTCTTTAGTATGAACAACAACAAATTTAAAGAGCATTAGAGCAGCAGCCACTCATTAATGATGTTGCTTGATCACCTGCTAATCTCTAACTTTTATGATAGACTAGGTGAGTTGTATTATCTTTCCTTTTTCATTCATTCTAAAAACTTGTAAATTTTTGAAACTATTTTCATATGAAACTATTAAATTTTTCTCCCTCCGTTTCATATTAAGTGTCGTTTTAGTATTTGAATTTTGTTTTAAAATAAATGTCGTTTTGTGTTTTCAATGCAGATTTTTGGTCTAATTTCCAGTTTGGTCCCTACTAATTAAATGTATTGACCAATAAAAAATAATAAAATATATAGATAATTGATAAAACAGAACATTTAATTGTTTTCTTAATATGTGTGCAAAAACCTTAAACGACACTTATTATGAAACAGAGGAAGTATATCATTATAAATAATAAATTTCGTAAAATTCACAAGTCCAAATTATAGATGAAAATAGAGTTCTTAAGTTTTAAAGAGAAATAAGCGAATTAGAAAAAGTTCTTTGCACAAAAAAATAATAATAATAAAGAAATAAAAAAAAAGTTCATCAATAAGAGATACGTGCTTATCATCATGTTGTTAATATTGCGATTCATAGAACGATTTTTGTTTTTTTTTGCTTGTGCGCTTTAGATTGAGGTAAATCAATATCACGAGTTTTCTCTTTTACCAAAATAATTTGAACCAGACTACAACCAGGAAGAAGAATAATATTATTCATGGGTTGTGTTTCTATTAAACCTTCTGCTAACTTTGTCTCTAAACCCAAAAACGCTTCATGTACGAGCCAATTCATGAAACTACTATTTGCCACGTAGAACCTACAATCATTCACTTTGTTCAATTTAACTACAACAAATATACACACAATTTTGCATTTTGTATGGATAAAGTGTAAGAACAAAATTGAATGACGTTGTGTGGTACCATTTATTTTGTTCATGTTTTCTTTTTTTCTTTGTGCATTTTGCTCAGTTAAGTGTCATAACAATATTAATGTTAGTAAAAACAATGTAGATATAAACGTTTATAATAACCTTACAAACTCCGATCCTTGATAAACTTACCTACTATTTGGTGCATATAAAGCTAGCTATGGAGGTGATGGAGTCTAAAAACTATTTTTAGCTTTGAGAATGATGGCTTATGAAGAGTCGATGCTTTAAAATGATAGAGGAGAAGTTTAGGGGTCAATGATAATCTGAAATCTAAGTGGTAAAAGTCACTAATTAATGGAAGGTAAAACTTAACTTTAGGTTTTTAGCCTTATATTCTATTTGGACATGTAGTACTCTCTTAGGTGCTGATGTGTCACTCATATGGGAGAGTTAGCCAACTTTCATATATATGATTTTTCTTTGATGTTCTGAATTTGAGATAAATTACGTCACCAATTTGTGAGTAACACTAGGATCGGAAAAAATTAATCACTAAATTTGGCTTTAGAATAAAATAGAAAACAATTTGGGATCCACTGAGCCAAGAGAATATCTTTGATCAATTACAACCAGTCATCATAGAATCGAATCATGCTAAGGAAGAGAACAATTAATGTTGAGATTGAGTTCTCCCTAATTCATGTTCCTTCTTAATCTCAACTTTCATCAAACCACAATTACGTAACACAACTTCCAACGTCCACAACAAATAAAACATGCACATGCAACTAAAAACAAAACCCAACAAACTCTAAATTATAAAACAACCGAACAACACACACAAAAGACACAAAAGAAGAATCAATGGGAGTCTCGGACATGGAAGTAATTAGGGTTCTTGACGACGATATCGTACATGTAAACGGAGTTGAATTTGGTGAAATCTCTAGGGAGAGAAATGAGATCAATGGAGGAGCGTTTGTGGAATTGGAGGAGATCTGTGTCGCCGCCAAAGTACCTCTCCCATCCAAGACTCTGGAGGATCTGCTCGAGCGTCGAGTAAGATGAGACAACTTCTCCTGTCGGTAAATAGACCATCACTTTCCTTCGGCTGTGTGTGTCGGATCCTGACTGGTTAGGGTTCTCCACAAGTCTTATCACTCCGTTCTTAAACACCCACACGCCTGACATGATCTTCTTCTTCCTCTCCTTAGTTTTGTTTTGTTGAGAGAGATATAGAGAGTATATATGGAATGATTTGGTGTTTTTGAGAAGAGACTTGTGTGTGGAACTGATATTATATAGAAGAGGGTCTGACCACATCACGACAAATAAATATCCTTTTGACGTGACAAATAGAATTTATTTTAAAATATAACCAGCAATGATTTTTTTGGGACCATTGGTGAAATAACTAAAAGATGAATAAAATTAGTGAAGTAACGTGTTGATTCGTGAATGGTCTTGTGTTGTTGGAGTGTCGGAAAATATAGCTGCATATAATTGATAATTGATATCATAATTTAGTGTTGATTTGATATAAAACAATTAAATCGACGTTTGGTCACATGTTTCATGAAAAATTGCTTGTTATTTGCCTAAGTTAATTCATCATCAATAGGTTATAGAAAATGAAAAATGCATTAGTTTATGAAAAACATAGGACAAACCGTTAAATAGGTGAATATATTACTAGATCATTTTAGTTCATTAAATTAGTTTCAAATAGAATAACATGTCAAGTCTAGATATTGTGGCTTGGTGAAGGTTGTTTCTATGTCGCTCACGGCCTGGATAAATTAGATATGATAGGTTAATCTACTTTCACTATTTAAAAAGATTTGGAATACCATCTCACATTCCTCAATCTTTAAAATAATACTAGTATTTTATGCGTTTTGCAAGAATTTGTTCGAATTCTGATTTTGGTTTCTAGGAATCTTTAAAGATTTTAAGCACTAGAATAAATCTTATGGTAGGTATTTTTTATTCTATTATTCGATAGACCATTTGTCTAAGGGATAATTTATTTCTCTCAAATGTTTTCATGGAGTAATGTATGTTAAGTTTTGGTAGCGCCAAATGTTGTCTTTTGTTCTTCGGTAGTATTAATAGAACACAAGAAATGCTTCATCTAATCCGTACGATCAATATTAGAAAATTAAATTAGCTCATGTCTTGTACTCAATGGTTTGTCCTAATGTCGATTCCAACTCAAAATTTTGTGTGTAAGTTTTAGATCAAAAAGGATCACTAAAGAGCTAGTTCTAGAGAATTAACTAAATTATCCAATTTGGTTGGAACATTTCACGCATGTGGTAAACACATTATGAAGACATAGAAACTAGGAGCAGTAACAATATGAAAAAAAACATAAAATAAGTCCAATGACCATAAAATTTATATGATCACAATCGTCCATATTACTACCCCAAAAAGACAAAAAGCTTTCTCATATACCATTAATTATTTCACCTTTATATTTCCTCCTTCTTTCCTTAGGTTTCATCCAAAATTTTGAGCTTCCTTTCATATATTTTTGAATCAATCTCTTCATATACATATAGTTTGATATAATCTTCTGATCCTACTAAAATAAAACTAAATTTTTGCATATGTCATGATTTTAAATTTTAAAACTAAATAAATACAATTGAGAATGTATATACTATATATATATATATATATATGACTTTAGGTCAGATAGAAAAGGTTTTTGTCAGGTAAGGCGGGAATGCATAATTCTGTATGAAAATTGATGTAATACTTTTCTCAATTAAATATCGAACCACAATTTGCAATTGATCAACTCACTAGGAAAACACGCAAAAGCTTAATCTAGGCTAATAAAATGATTGGGTTTTGTAAACTTGACTAACGAAGTAAATAACAATTGAACAATGCAAAACAAGACAAATGAAAGTAAAATACAAAAGACTAACAAGTTTCCAAAGTAAACAAAGCGAGAAAAATAACAAGCTACTAAGCGATAACTAAAAGCGAATTTTCGGGTTAAAGAGAATTGATTAGGAATGATAAAGAAGTAGATTATGGAGCTTCAAACAACTTCTAATAAGCAATGATCCCTATGCCATATAACACTAAGCAACACTAACACATTTCCATGACATTAGTCCATTTATTAATCAATTAATCATCAACTTCTTCCAAAAGCAATCAATTGACTAACAAGCATTATAAACAAGTCTATCTAGCCACTTAACACCCTAGTCAATAATTTCCAAAGGTAAGGAATGTAAAGCACTTAAAGTTTTTGGTTAAGGAATTTCATCGAACACCTTCCGGGCAAGAAATTCCTAAAGTCTAAATCAACATGATCAAGGCTAATCTAGCTTTATAAACAACCAATAAGTAAGGATCTTAAGTAATCTAGCCCTAAACTCCATAACCCAACAACTAAATCATCCTAATCTACCTTAACCCAAGAACTCTAAATGACTACTCACTCATGATCATGATTACACAAAGCAATAGATTTGATCTTTGTGAAATCATAATTAGAGAAGGTAGATAAGAGATTAAAAGAGAAATTTGGATTCAAAACTCAACAAAACCAAAGATTCATACAAAAACTTAGAAATAAACCTTAAGAGAAGTTTTTTGATCTCTAAACAAAGCATCCCCTTGTGAAATTAGGTTAAAAGTATTTATAGGAGAAGAGAAACAAATCGGGTCAACCCGGAACAAACCGGGTTTTGACCGGTTGCAAATTGGATCAAGCCAAAAGAGAGACGACTTCGTTGTGATTTTGACCGAAGCTTGAAACCGGAGAGAAACTTTGGGGGCGTTGTGGCCGAAGGCGATGGGCGTAGAGAAGCTGCGGTAGCCTCTAGACCGAAGGATTTGACCGAAGGCAGTTCTGCTCATCGAGTCGTCTTGGCGTCTACGGTTGGCTCGTGACCGAAGGATGAAACCATAGGGATCCTACGGTTATGTTATGGCCGAAGCTTGAGACCGTAGAGCCTTCTGTTCTTGCTTCACCATTTCTTCTCCATTTTGCTCCAAATAATGATTCAAAGTGCTCCAAAACTTGAATTTCCACTCCAAGAACCTAAAGTCAAAGATTTTGATACAAATGCAATGTAAACAACCTAAATGTCATGAAAATGCCAGAATTTAAAGGTAAAGCAAGGCCCAAAAAACCATTAAAATCACAAGATATCAAAAATAATGAAATGTTATTTTATTCTATATTTCTATGTACCGTTATGACATGAGAATCTATCAAGCAAACAAAGAATAAAACATTATTTCCTTCTATGAAACAATTAAATAAACTTTCTTTTTGTCGAAAATTGTATTTGCGATGGAAAATCTTTCGCCTGATCCATGGCTATATTTCGCATGTATCTTATAGTTCATTCAAATTGGTTCAACCGAAACTTCGAACGAATCAACAAAAACTTAACTCCCCCCCAATGTTTTTTTCTCAACCAAGTAAACTATAATTATGTAGATATTACAATCGAACAATTCATTGTTTAATTAATGTGTTATTCCATAATATCATCTCACTATATATGCGTACAATCTTCTTTTCTATCTTAAATCCGACGGTTAATCTTACGTTAGCATCCTTTCCGATTCGAGCAATTATAAGTACACTTTTTTGTGATTAAACATTGTCATCCTTCACTCTAGCTCACCTTTTAAACGACAAATCAGCAATATAAAAAACCATGGACAATGACCCTAATGGTGGAGCTACATATATCGTGACGAATAACACATGTAAGAGAATCATGTACACAATAATGGTAGGCGAATCTCTATCTCTTAATTTGATTCTTAAAAATAATAATCAATGATTCGATATTAAGCCACTTTAATTAACAATATTTAGTTCCCTAACATATAGAAATGTGATTCTTGCATTAGCCAATCGATCATTGTATTAGTGCACGCACACGAGAACCTAATGCGCATCTATCGAATGCAATTTTTATGTTGCACCAGATTAATGTTTCTTCTATGCGTATAATTTTAGAACATTTCTTCTATGTAAAATTGTTTGTAGATTAAAAAGACAATCACAAGATTTGATAGAAGTATAACTAATTGAAAATTTAGAGATGCGGGAACATATACAAAGGAGCGCATTTATATGCTCCTTGTAATTTAAAAAAATAATAATTCTGAAATGATTTGGATTGGATGAAAGAATATAAGCATGTAATTGTGTCTAGGTACACATGTGGTTTAGTAGTAGTTAGATTTGGGACAAGAAGTATAATCGTTTTTTTATTTATTTTGGTTTTTATTATAAATTAAATAAAATCGGGTGTACATTGAGAAATAGGGATTGAGACCATTCGTGTTGCCGATTGGTTGTGTTACATGGTTTATGCAAGACAAATTCAGCCATGTCTCTCAATTCCGGTATCTAGATCTAGTTGAAAAATGAAAATCCATGAACCAAATCTTTTTTGTTGGACTTGGGCCGACTCACTCTTAGGCCATGCGCAATGGCGCATTTTCTTTCCGGGTGTGACTATTAAAGTAATTGAAAATAAGAGAAAAGTTGTCTCTCTCCTTGCACCCGGGTGTAACTTTACACTCGGATGTAAGACACTCTCTCTCTTTCTCTCTCTTTTTTTCTCTCTCTCTTTTCTCTCTCTCTTTAAATTATAATAATAAAAAAAATTTTACACCCACACTCACACTTACCCCATTGTGGATGCTCTTAGAATTAAACAAAAAAAAAATAGATATAAAGGATTTTTTTAAAAAATTTTGTCCATCTATACTTTATCTAGAAAAGTTTGGTGAAATAGGTTTTTAGGAAAAATTTTTACCAACTATACCCTTAATTATAAAATAAAATAAAATAAAATTACAGAATTGAAAAAATATGACTTTCTATTTCCAAATCCAAAAACTCTAACTAGAATAAAGACTTTTGTTTTTGACGTTCGACAAATACAGATTGAAGTATTTGTTGCTCTGGCTCATGTTTTTGGTCCCTTATAAAGTCTTCTTTATCATGATCCGTTCGCATTGTTCAATACAAAATTACAAAAGAAAAAGACCAACGTGTAAGTTTTTTAACATTGACAGTGATCATGTACATCAACAACTTATCCAATATGTATTATTTTTCCAATCGTTGTTCTTCTTATTAGATGGTGAGTGGCTAAAAGTAAACCACAAAAATGTGACTTTCAGAAAAACTAACTACCATAACAAAATTAGTCATGCTATGAATTTTGGTTTCGTTAGTACTTCTCCTAGTATTATTCGTTTAAGAAATCAAAATCATAGCTCTCACATTTTCGTTAGTACTTTTCCATTAATTACGTCGGATTCCTTATTCAGATCGAATTTTCCCTACTCCTAGTATATATCTTTTTTTTTTTTTTTTTTTGATCAAACTTCAAATTTCATTAGCTAGCAAGAGTCTTCACCTCCAAACAGAGGAGAAAGGGATTACATCAGATAAAGCTGAAATAGCTAAGCTTTCCGCAATAACAGTTTCTAGACGAGAAACAAAATAAAAACAGATAAGTGTAAAGGAGACACTCAATTCTCTAATGTCGTGAAGCAGACTTCTTGGAGCGACAGTGCTGGTTCCAGATATGAGAAGAGAGATTAACACTTTACAAACGGAGAAGACCTTGAGCTTGTGAAAACCTGCAGATTGAGCATCCAACAAGGCTAATTCCACAGCAAGTGTCTCTGCAAAGAGGGCAGTCCACGCTGCATCCACATAACTATTGAATAGGGGATCTTCACTGACATTAGAGACACACCAATCCATACCACGAAG